CAGCTCCAACAAATCCTCTCCCAAATCCTCACCTCTCCCCATCTCTCCTCTCTCTCCTCTTACAACTCCCTCATCAAATCCCTCTGCAACGAATCCCTCAACAAGCCCGTTTCCCTCTACACCCACATGCTGGCCTCTCGGCTTCTCCCCGATCACCTCACCTTCCCTTTCCTCCTCAAATCCTGCTCCCTTCACCATGCCCACGTCACCGGCCGAGCCCTTCACTCTCACATTTTCAGGCTGGGCTTTGTTGCAGACGTCTATATCAACAACTCTCTTGTGTTTATGTACTCTGCTTGTGGTCAGGTTGAGCTTGCGCGGAGGGTGTTCGAAGAAATGCCCGAAAGAGATGTCATTTCGGAGAACTCGATGCTGGGTGGGTACTTGAAGTGTGGGGATCTGGATGATGCACTGGTTTTTTTTCGGGGGATGGAGATGAGGAATGTGAGGACCTGGAATTCTATTATTGCAGGGTTTGTTAGGGGAGGGAGGTGTGGAGAGGCCTTGGATTTGTTTAATGAGATGCGTGGAGGGTTTGTGAAACCCGATAAGATTACAGTTGCGAGTGTTGTTTCGGCTTGTGCTTCGCTTGGAGCATTGGATATGGGGAAATGGGTTCATGGGTACTTGAGAAGGGAAAGGCTGGAGTTTGATTTGGTGATAGGGACATCTTTAATTGATATGTATGGGAAATGTGGGTCTATAGAGAGGGCATTTGAGGTTTTTAGGGAAATGCCTAAGAGGGATGTTCAAGCTTGGACTGTGATGATTTCAGTTCTTGCTATCCATGGCCGTGGAGAAGAAGCTTTCGTTCTATTGGAAGAAATGGAGAAGACTGGTATGAGGCCCAATAATGTGACGTTTGGAGCTCTATTGAGTGCTTGTGCTCACTCTGGCACGGTTGATAAAGGACGGTGGTGCTTTGATGTGATGAGAAGAGTTTACTCAATTGAGCCCCAATTGCAGCACTATGCATGCATGGTTGATTTGCTTGGTCGAGCTGGCCTTTTTGAAGAGGCCGAAATGCTTATTGCATCTATGCCAATGAAGCCTGACGTGTTCGTTTGGGGAGCATTGCTGGGTGCCTGTAGGATGCATGGAAATGTTGAATTGGGGGAAAAAATTGCTGGATGTCTTATTTCAATGGATCCTCTCAATCATGCTTACTTTATTATTCTATCCGACATTTATGCGAATGCTAAAAGATTTGAGGATGTCAAAAGAATCCGTGATTTTATGGAGGATCAGGGCATCATGAAGACATCACCTGGACATAGCTTGATTGAAATTGATGGCCAAGTGTATGAATTTTCCAGAAGAAGCGTAAAGGAGGAGTTAATGAAGGAAATAGAGTGGGTTTTGATCGGGATTAATGTTGAACTAATGTGGACTGGTTATGTGCCAGATGACGATATGGAACTGTTTCTGACCGCATAAAAATTATTGATAACATTAACCATTTGCTTCTGATGTTGACTTGCTCCCTCTCTGTTATTTGATAAAGGGTTCTTTGTGATGAACATAATGAAGGTTGCAGTGTTTACGGAAGAGTGAATGTGATCTATGAGGGAGGTAAGTTTTGAAATCATGATATCATACTAACGGATCCTAGTTTTCACTTCCAGCAAATAGCCTTTATGATAACTCAATGTTTTTGTGATGCGACAACTACTTAGGAGTGGCTGCTCCTTTCTTATTCACTTCGATAATGCAGTTATACTACAGACAGAAGGTACATTCAAGATTTCAAGTTTTGAAATCTTGAAATCTCTGTTATTTGAAACCGTATGAAATGATGTCGCTCCTTTCTTATTCACTTCGATAATGCAGTTAAACTACAGACAGAAGGTACATTCTCCTGCATACAAAAGCTTATGTATAGCATGTTATTTTAATTTAAACTGCCAACCACTGGGGAAAATATTATTTTGACATGTTTATTTTTCGTTTCAAGTTTCTCCATTACTACCGAGTATTTGACGACGCCTGTTGCGGGCATTAAAATTCAAGGTTCTACTACTATCTCTAATGGGAGGAGTATTGAATCTCTTTAGCTGTTAGAAGGTAGTTTAGAATAATGCCCCTCAAGAAGATTCCATATCATCATAGTAAAGAACTATCTTTATAACAGAACCTACACATACTCGATGTGCAAAATTATTTAACCCTCTTTATGTGAGAATCTTGAAGCTCCATGATGAAACTTTGGATTTTGCAATTGGGGAAAAATCCTTAACATCTGCGAAGATAGTAGAGAAATTCAAAGAAAGAAGAGACTAGGAGGAAAAAGCACGCGGGATAGATGGCAATATTGAATCACGGATATCAAAACATATAGTTAGTTCAGTCGTTGTCCCTTTGGACAAACCCAAGGTTCAATTTTTTTTTTTTTTTTGTCTTTTTGTCTAATTCTTGTTTAAAGCTTATGGTGTGATTTTGTGAGGAGGCGGCAGCTTCCAAGGGTCTGGTTCAAATTGGAAAAAAAGAAGTATGAAAGAAAGAAATTATTGCCCTTCCCTGTAATTCTTCTCCAATATCTAGCTTGACAAACTATTAAATTCCTGCACCAATTTCGAGTATATATTCCTTAAAGGTGTCGTATATCATCTAAATTCTGAACGCCTGGGTAATGTGCCGACTACAACGATTACATTTTTTCCATGGGAAGCTTCATCTGGAATCGCCTTTGTTAGCAATGGATCTTGTACAGTTAAAATTATAACTGAAAATATTCTTCATTTGCAGTAGGAAGGTCTACCAAATTAAAGAATAATCATTATATTCTTCAATAAAGAAATAATTTTTCCAAATATTTACGGTAGGCATTAGTCACAAAAGTTTGTTACTCCCTGACTTATAGGATGATTAGAATGGATAGCTAACCATGAAAAAAATCCAAGGAAAATTTTGAAAATTCATCGCTAAATTCAGTGACTTGAGCAGGTAGAAGGGTGTGAAACAGGGAACGTCATACACAGGAAAAAATGAAGATTTAGAGAGTTTAAGAGAGACTTCGTTTCCCGTCTTGGAAAGCGGAAGGTGTGGGAATGATTGCCTTTTACCTATTTACTTGTCAACGGAACCATATGACATTTAATAGAAATCTCTAAAAATAGGAATCAATCTACTGTGACTCTCAAAAGGGTCTAATTTGTAGTAAGTAGTTATGTTATAAAATGAGTTGGATTTTGTGATAAATATTTTGCTACGTTCAGGTTGTAGGACATAGTTTGTTAGATATCTGAAACATGATTTTGGCTGTGTTTATCACAACCAGTGACTTCTTTTGCAGTCATGATGAAATTAGACATTCATGAGCAATTATTTATGAGACCACATTATGATATTATGATCTTGTTTTTGCTCATGTTTTACTGTGAATGCATAATTTATGACATCGGCAACAACATCCCAATGCACATCATGGCTGAGAACTTTCTTTCTCATAGAATCAATACCGAAGAGCTTCATGTGATCATATTATTGCATACACAATCATGGATTCATCTTCCAGAGGAGTAAGACTGACTACATGCAAAAAAAATTTCCACCATTTAAAGAGCTGTTTGCGGTAGAATTATAAAAATTTGATGTCAGTGATTCTTATCCTGGTGATAACCAATATTGGCGGAATATCAATGTTAGAATATGACGCCGTGTGTAACTTGTTTGAAGAACAAAGGGTGACTGCTGCTTTGAAATGACTTGATGGTCAATGACACGATAAAGAAAAGCCTGGAGCAAAATATCCTGTAATATCCAGTTCTTGACATTTTGAGGGTAAGCCATATCGTGGGTGATTAAAACTCAATTATGAATTTCAGAAGACCAATAGCCAGATATGATTTTGTTGGGACTTTATCCAGATATTCACTTCCTGTGGCACATTTAGCTGAGAATTTTGTCATTTCCTGCCAGAATTAAATACCTCTCCTGTCACAAAGTTATACTTCACAGCAAGATAAGGACTCTGTCGGCTTTCCATTATCCCAAAAGTTTCCCCATTAACAAAGATTTCAAATTTTTGAATAAAATATATCAAATACAGATAATAGATAAGAGACCAGGAGAGATTAATTTCTGTGACTAGTCAATAATTATAAATTATATTCATATGCGAAGTGTAGCTAAGCTCATGTGTCAGGATTTATAGTTTTATTTCATATGCAAGCTCTTTGTATCTAAGGATACGCTTTGTTTCAAATCCAACTTTTCCAATCAAGTGTATGTTTAAAAATTTTTAGTATGTCTTCTGAAACATAGTAGGACGGAAACTATTCTGCATTCATTTTTAACAGTCACATGTAGACAATGTGTGATACCATCGCATAAACAGGCAGGGCTGGACAGAGTTTGCACTCCACATACATATTATGGCTTAGCAGTAAATAATAAAATAGTAGGATTGTATTTGTTTGTAGCTTGGAAATTAGTCTTTCACATGGTGAAAATATCACATGCTAATTGTCAAGATTTCAATTATTTCTTTTCTGTTAATGTAATATGATTGCCATTATTATTGTTAGATAGTCCTTAACTGAGGGAATACTGAGACAGCCATATGCATATAGAATGATAGACTGGGCTGTGACTTTCAAGACTGCTAAATCGTTATCACTAAAAGCTAGACAAGTCAAGACATTAATTTTTTTTTGGGTCAAGGTGTCAGTTTTGTGCAAAGCTTGGGAAAGAGAAATTCATTTGTTTAAATTTGGGGATTTCTTAAACCAGAAAACTACAAGTTAGGATCGATTGTAACTGAAAGCTAAAAATCTTTGGGCAAAACCAAAAAAGAGACTGATTGGGAACCAAGGAAAGATGAAAGCAACATTCAAATGAAACAGACCTTAACTATGGATACCATTCTCTGCTTCTTTGTCCTTATCTCATGAAATTATAAACATCACAGTCAGTGTGACTTAAAAGATACATCACAACAAGAGGATACATTTCTATGATATTCTCATCAATCTGGCTAAAAGAGAACAAAAAATTAATTTTTTTTAGTATTTGGATGGTGTGATAATACATAGAAATATGTATAATGTATGGGTTTTTAAAAAGGTCCTCTTTGTATTCTTAAAAGATTTACCAGAGTTATAGTCTTCTAGAAGAATATTTAAAAATAAAAAGCCCCATGAGTCCAACTTACCAATCCACCTTGAATATAGAACTAGTTGCTGACACTTGATAACATCTCACATATTGCTAATCTCAAGATGAGAATGCTAGTGTCGTCCGCCCTTCAATCAGAATGATCCAAGTCACTACTCTTTAGACTGCAAATAAACCACTTCATAATCACATCCTTCATCAGAACTGACTATCATGGAGTTCCACGTCTCATATATTGTTACATACATATGCTTCTCTTTAATCTTTGTTCTCTCCATAGTTATCCTCATCATCATTCTCTTTGTGGCAGGCTCCATTACTGCCATCCTTGTGTTTTTTGTCAAAGAATCCATTCAGAAGGAAGGCAGAGCCCCAATCGCAGGAACTGACTTTCATCAGCTTATCTATTTTGACACTCTCTTTGATTACCAAACTGACATTGCTAGAAAGCACCAGACATATCGCCTCCTCAAGCCCTCTTTTAGCGATATGTACACCATTGCCCCTGCCAATGTAGAGCATGTTCTGAAAACAAACTTCTCCAAATACAGCAAGGTGTATATATCTACAAAATTTCACAGCATTTAGTTTTCTTGTTCAGGTTAGAAAGCCTATATAATTTATCTTATGTTGATTCAGGGGCAATTTAATTATAATGTAGTGAAAGACCTCTTAGGTGATGGGATATTTGCAGTTGATGGGGATAAATGGCGTCAGCAAAGAAAGCTAGCCAGCTATGAGTTCTCTACTAAAGTTCTTCGAGAATTCAGCAGTGATGTGTTTCGAGCAACTGGGGTCAAGCTTGCCAATAAAGTTGGAGAGGCAGCAAACTCAGCTGCTCCTTTTGATATGCAGGTTTGTTTCTTTTTCATGTCCGTAAAAACAATAATAAGGCGAGATATAGAAGGGTCTCAAACAAAAATCCTACATTTTGCAGGATGTTTTGATGAAGGCGACCCTAGATTCAATCTTTAAGGTGGGATTTGGTGTTGAGCTGAACACACTCTCTGGCTCAGATGAGTTTGGATCTTGTTTCAGCAAGGCATTCGATGAATCTAACTACATCGTGTTCCGAAGATATGTTGACATCTTCTGGGAAACCAAGAAATATTTCAACATTGGATTGGAGGCCAAGCTCAAGAAGAACATCCAAGTGATTGATGACTTTGTGTTTCAATTAATTCGCCACAAGAGGGAGCAGATAAAGTGTGGAGTAAAAGAGGTAAGGGTTCCTAACTTTTCAATCTATATATACCAAAGTTAAGAACATGAAATTTCACTCTTTTTTTTAATGGGTGTTTGAAGAAAGCTAAGGAAAACATACTGTCAAGGTTCATACTTGCAAGCCAGGAGCAACCAGAGGCAATCACTGATCAGTATCTAAGAGATATAATTCTCAACTTCTTGATCGCTGGCAAGGACACATCTGCCAACACCCTTTCCTGGTTCTTCTACAGAGTGTGTAAGAACCCCTTAGTTCAGGAGAAAATTGTTGATGAGATCAAACATGCAACAGGATTTAAGGGATTAGGAGCTGAATTCAGAGATTTTGCAATGAGCTTAACCGAAAATGTCATTGACAAGATGCATTATCTCCATGCCGCACTCACAGAAACTCTCCGTCTGTATCCTGCAGTTCCCGTGGTAATAACCTTTGATCTCCATCAGCAAGTTAACTATTGTAATTTATGCACATCCCCATGCCACTGGCTATAATATTCTTAGCCTTATGTATTTTGATTTTAATATAACAGTGTTTATTGTTGCATTTCTGTAATTGATTTTTTAAATCTGTATGAATTTTACGTATTTATGTCATCTTATTGTATGGAACATACTTCATTCGTTTCCACTGTGACACTTATAAGTTTGGTTGATTTGACTGCAATTTTATCTTCAAATTAGTATCGTTGTTGGGCAATTACCAAATTGACATTTTTTAAGGACCCTGTTTACACAATGATATTTTTTTTCTTTCACCAGTGACATTATGGTATCAACATCGAAATTAATACCAATGTGGTTATTTTTTTCTCTATAAAAAATACCAAAATGTTTATTTTTCCTATATAAAATAATACCAAATTGACGTCTAATGTTGATATTAAGACCATAATGTTGCCAGTGAAAGAAAAAACACTATAGTGTGAAAAAACGGTAATTTAGCCCTTTTTTGTGATACGTAACTGCACAGCAAGCTTGACACATTGGTCCGTATGTCGCCATTGTCACCCACATCAGTGTATTCAGGGGGTTTGGGGGCATGACATTGATAGTAACAAATTTTCACACAATAGGATTTTAAAACTTGGTATGTTATTCTGATAACTTGCTTGTTCTGTGATAGGATGGGAAGGTTGCAGATGAGGATGATGTTCTTCCTGATGGCTTCAAGGTTAAGAAAGGAGATGGAGTTTACTATCTGGCCTATTCTATGGGAAGGATGATATCTTTGTGGGGCGAAGATGCTGAGGACTATAGGCCAGAGCGTTGGCTTGATAATGGCTCTTTCAAGCCAGAAAGCCCATTCAAATTCGTGGCATTTAATGTAAGCTTCCTATTTCCGTAAATCTCAATGGATTCTGATGTTCCCGTAGCATCTAGGCAGTGGAGAGTTCCTTTCTTCAATCCAAATTGTTCACTATTAGGTGGACATTTATAATTTTTTAGGAGTAAAGAATGAGAATACCTATAATTAACAATTATAATATATTTTGAATGAATTATAAGTGTTGCATAAATAATCTTTTTCATCATACCTCTACTTTTTCATCTCTCATACCTACACCCTACTGCTTATTATTCTCTTTACATTAAGTTTCATGTCCCCTTCCAAACTTCTAATCTACGTGATTCTCTAATTATTTCTTATATCTCCAAACTTGTTTTATTTGCTCTCATATATAGCAAATATATGTAGTATTTTTGCTCCTGCCAATTCACTTCTCATTTGAAGATACGAGCAAGCAAAAAAGAGTTTAAATATGAAAAAAAATTCAGAGAACATTGACAATTTGATATTTATGTAAATATTATGTTAGACACCCAATTTCTTGCTAAAAATCATTACTATTTCACTTTTATAAAAAATGTTTGTGGTTTGCCCCAAATTACTTAAATTTAAAGTTGTTTACATTTGGTTGCTGCCTTTATACTTTTATCTTGTATCCCATCATTTATATGATACATCTCTCCTTTATTAGTCCTTTAACATATTCCTATACATCCTAGCTGTCATTTTGGTAGATATACCTTGAATTGCCTTTATCCGTATTCTTTTAGGAAACATTCAAAATTTAGCCCTTGAGATACAAGTATAGATACCGCGATTTAATTATTAATTTTTCACTAAAACCAACTCGTTTGCTCGCCCCCCCCCGCCCCACCCCCACCACAAATCTTCTAATATTTGTATTCTATTTTCAATCTCTTTTGTTTTTTCCTCTCAGGCTGGTCCAAGGATTTGCTTGGGAAAGGAATTTGCATATCGACAGATGAAAATTCTGGCTGCAATGCTCCTCTATTTCTTTAAATTCAAGCTCGAGGATGAGTCTATGACGGCAACTTATAGAGTTATGTTCACTCTCCATATAGCTAAAGGCCTTCCTCTCCTTGCATTTCATAGGTGCAACTAAAGAAATCGTGACTTAAATTTCTCGCTTTGTGAATGGATGTAGTTCCTTCCCGTCCTCTTTTCTTTTCATTGTGTGGTCCTTTTTTTTTTAAAATCGGTATTGTCTAAGTGTACCTACTGCTGCTTTTCTGTCGTAGAAATACTTCTTGTATATTTTTGGGTTTATTAGTGGAATATGGAGGGTAGTTGCTCACCTTTGTACTAAGGAAATGTGGCTTTATCTCGGATATTTTGTTTGCTTACTGTGTTCTCTACGTAATTGTTTTCCATGCATGTGGATAAGGGAAACTTGCTGTCACTAGTACAAATAGGGGCAGCTCCAACGGGTGGTAGGAACCGTTGGGGCTAGTTTTATCAGCACTAATCGTTTCCCCCATTGGGGTGATGTAGTTTTTGCCACAAAAAATCGGAGGGAGCCCGCCCCGCCCTCAAATTTTATTTTCCCCAAAAATGTTCGATCTCTCTCCCTCTCTGGTTCCCTCCCTCTCTCTCTCTCTCCAAAACCAACACTGCCCTCCTCTTCTTGTTGTCGTCGGAGCTCTATCTCCGCCTCCTCCTTTAGTCGTCGTTGTTGCAGCTCTCTCGCCGCCGCCTCCTCTCCCCAAAAAATCCTAATTCGTCATCTTCTGCTCGATTGGACATTGCTGTTGCCGCCACTCGAAGCTCTGTCGCTCCCTCCTCCTCTTCGGTGAAAACCCTAACCTGATCCCCTACCCTCCTTTTCCCTCAAAAACCTAATCACCACTTTGGCCTTCTCCTCCTCCTGCAGCTGGTTTTCGGCCAGCTTTGCTCGCCACTCCTCCGCCGCTGCTACCATTTGTCCTCCTCTACATTGGAAGGTATGTGAGTCTATTTCCCTTATTTGTTTCCCTTATTTGGCGTAAGAGCTTTACTGCTATTTGACTTTATTTTGTTGTTTAGGATCATCGAGTGGTGGGAAAATAAAGATTGGCATAAATGGTATGTTCACTCTTTATTGTTATCCATTTGGACTTTGGAAGCAATCAATCTTGTCTATACCTTAAGACTGAAATTGTAGGTCACTTGAATGCCGTATTTATAAGCTAAGCATGTAACAAGAGTTGATTTGTGCAAGTTTTTGTCGCATTATTAGGAGGTTGGTCTTGTGCATAGCCGCGTATGGGTCTCAACAAAAAGACCAAGACCACCGCCGTCGCCATTGTGGGCACCACCCCTCTCTATGAAACTCTCATTGCCAAGTTCAACCAGACCCCTGCCTTTGTGTAAGTTCCTTGTGCAAAGTTTTTAAGAAAGAGGAACTCTTGATTCAGTATATTATCAAAGGTTACCATTAGTTTAAGTTGACTGATGGTTTTTAAGAAAGAGGAACTCTTGATTCAGTATATTATCAAAGGTTACCATTAGTTTAAGTTGACTGATGACTAATTGATAATATCACGCATTTATCAAAGGTTACCATTAGTTTAAGTTGACTGATGACTAATTGATAATATCACGCATCAATGTTGTTAATACAACCTCTTGCAGTTTGTTTATATAGTAAGGGATCAAACTAATATTTGTCATTTTTAACTTGCTTATAAGTAATATGCAATGCATATTAAATAGAACTCTTTTTAAGTTTAGACAAGTGGTTTTTTTCCTCTTGTTGCGTAAGTGATTAGATAATTCTATGTCATGGAGACCTCAACTTTCTCATAGTTTTTTTCAAAAATGTTGCAGGTACTTTGTGATAGCCAATGCGATTGCTAGCATCCAAAAATGTTCCAAAAATGTGGAGAGATGTCTCCTGCTAAGAGCCTACTAATATGTAACTTGCTTTTCATTAATAGCTAACAGTTTATTAGCTAATCATGGTAAGAGAAACATTACATTCTGCTAAGTTAGGTTTCTTGGAAAGCAAATTGCACATCCTGATTGTTGTGTCAAGAAACTGGTTAATGTGGCTTTTCACCCCTTATATATGAAGTTTTAGTCAAATAGAATTGGTCCACTCAAGAAACTGGTTAATGTGGCTTTTCACCCCTTATATATGAAGTTTTAGTCAAATAGAATTGGTCCACTTGATGCATTGTGGTGGTAACTATATATAGCTATAACTTGTTGCATAAATTGCAATTGTCATTTTTGAGAAAATATATGCGACTGTCTGACTTGGATTGTATGGTTTACTAGCTTATTAATTTCCATTAGTAGTAGTTACTGATGAACCAATGGAATAGTATGTCAAGGTTATAAACCTCATGGGTGATGATTGTAATGGCTTGAAATAAACTTTGATGCAAAATGCAACCTCTATGGGCATGCTATCAGTATATTGAAGCGTATGATATCAAGATATAGAAGCTTATTAAAGTAATATTAGTCTTCCTTTTATGACTTGAGGTGCAAGTCTAGTTCCACAAATACTCATGGAGAACAATCAGGTATTGCATGGGATATCTTCTCTATCTCAAGGTTCAAATGGCGTCTTTCTTGCTGCTTCTTGCATGGATCACAAGTATTCCAATTCTAGCACGATTCCAATTCTTACAAAATTCCAGCACATTATTGAATTGGGCTTAACGTCTTGTTCTCTTCTATCAGGATTTACTAGCTCCTTTGATTCTTTAGCATGACAGTTTAGAGTAAACTAACAGTTTTTCCTCTTTCCCCAGTGGCAAGACCATTGAACTTGATGATGTCACTTTTCATCGGTGTGTAAATCTGACGAGGTTCAACTCAGAAAAGACAATCAGCTTTGTTCCTTTGGATGGTGAATTTGAATTGATGAAGTAAATCTTTCAACCTTTCTTACAATTAAGACTGCTTTTGTGCTAGTGTCGCATCGTGCTTTGATGAAGTAAATTTGTCAAGGTGGACAGTTTCTTTGATTGGCTGATATGTTATGTTGGCCTTCTTGTTTTAATGATGTTTAACAAACAATTTACCACTAATGTTGTTTGTTTCTACAAAAAAATATATGGCATAGAAATACAAACTATGAAGAGTTGGGCCATTTTTGGAGTAATGAGATTGAGTATTTGAGTGAGGTTGATTGCATAACTTCGAGTGGGATGCTTAGTGTATAGTGTTTGGCTCCTGTTACAGTTGAGGTGAAAAATTGGCCTTCTAGTTTTTTGTTCTACTAAGTTCCATTTGCAGAAGAATAAGAATAACTAGACTAGCTGGTTTAATTAAATTTAATATAGATTAGTTCAGTTGACAATTTGAAAAACCTGTTCATGGCAATTCTCTATTAATGTAAGTTGGAATGGTTCAGTTAACAAAGATGAGAAATTGAATATTGGAGTATCACCTCATCCTGCTTACATGTTACATGGCTTGACATTGATGCATAGAAGATGAAAGAACTAGATTTACTTAGATCTGTATATTTTGATTAGGGCTAACCAAATTGATCTAACCACTCATTTTACTAGCAACAAAGCAACTAACGACATTTAACTAGCACCCCTCAACTAATTTAGTGGCACCTAGCTCACCTGTATTGTCATTTTTAGAAGGATAAATTATAGATAACACCACTCTTCACATATAACTTTATGAAGCATGAACCTTCCATGATACTAATGATTTAACATGTGGTTTGCGTCTCTATTTGTCCTGCTAGAGAAACATGCATATGGATGATTTAACATTCTGCTGCTGCATTTTTTTCTGGTCAAATGCCTAGATTGAAATTGGGATAACCCTGATTTCTTTTAAATTTGATATTTATTTCTGGCTGTCATGGTGATTTCATGCTGACATATTTTTTTAATTTGTTATTTTGCTAAGAGCTAATTTCTTCTTCAGTTGATACCAGTTTCTTTACTTATATTTTCAATTTGATCTTCATGTGTTACTTTATAGGTAAAGAGTGTCTTTGGTGCTAAAATGTTTGCACTGGGAGTTGCGGTGAAGGTTCCAGTACCAAAACAAACAGCAAAGACAAGTTTCCAAGTGACATCAGGCAAAACCAAATATAAAGCTGCTATTGATTGTATTGTCTAGAAGTAAGTCCTGTTACTTATCGGTCGACCGCACCGGTCGACCGACGATGGTCCAGAATGTTTTCCTCGTGTTTTTGCTCTCATCGGTCGACCGACGGAATTTTCGGTCGACCGACAATAGATCCGTTAGACACTAACGGCTATTTTTCTGAGCTGTCTTCTGGGGATTTTTCTGTCTTTTTGCTTGGGGTTTTTTGGCTGAGTTGTGAGAGGGTATAAATACCCCATTGCTGATCTCTTCTCATGTATCTAAGAATGTTTTAAAAGAAGTTGGGTTTAAGTGTGTTTTAGTGTTTGTTTGGTTTGAAGATTGTTTTCGCAAGTGGAGGAGATCATCTTCTTGTTTGGGCTTCATATCTCCATCTCTCCATCTTGATCTAGAGAAGTTTTTCTAAACTCAACTCTAGCTTTTATCTATAATTATTTGTTGATTATCATTTCTATTAAAGCTAGTTTTATACTGAGTTTAGTTTGATTTGATTTACTCTTTGTTTACACACACAACCATTGAGCTTATTGTATTTGCATACATTATATAATTGGGTTGTGGGATAGTGTGACATTGAGAGTGAGCCTAATTGAGTTCTCACCTTGTTAGAGAGAACAATCATTTGTTATATTATGCTTATTGTGAGAATCACTTTGTAATACACTTGTACACCGAGTGAGAAGTGTGTGGTGAGAGTCGGGGATCGTCCCAAGAGGAGTGGCGTCGGTTGACGTGCCTAGAGAGAGGTTGTAACCGAGCACTTGAGGGAGACACGGTTAGGTCCAACACTTAGTGGGTGTAGAGTGTGATTGCAAGAGTGTGAGTTGTAGAGTTTTCGGTTAGCTAGAAAACCGAGTGTGTAGAAGAAGTTCCGGCTTCCAAACCGGATTGTGTTAGTGGATTTCTCCCCGGGAGTGGGGAGCGGAGACGTAGGACGGAAGGTCCGAACTCCGTGATCATATTGCTTGTTTAAGTGTGCTTTGGCGTTCATTCATATTTATGTTCATATCTCATATCGCCATTGTCATTAGCTCATTATCTATATCATCCACTATCTTATTTAGATTGTTTATCCTTGTGTAGTTTATATATCCTTGCATATATATATTCATCATATAGGATATATCTCTTTGTTTGCATTGCTTATCCTAGCTTATATATCTTGTGGTATTTCATATTTGCTAGGATAACTTGTTAATATATTTTAATTGGCATTTAATCGGATTAGATTAGCATAAGACCCTAATCACCCCCCCTCTAGGGTCTAACATGTTAAATAAGGTTAACTTAGTTTGTTCGTGTTATGTTGGATTTTAGCACACATTTTGTAACCAAGGCATAATTTTTTTTGAGTTTCTACAGAAAAATATATGGAATAGAAATACAAACTATGAAGAGTTGTGCTATTTTTGGAGTAATGAGATTGAGTATTTAAGTGAGGTTAACTGCATAACTTCGAGTGGAATGCTTAGTGTATAGTGTTTGGCTCTTGTTACTATTGAGGTGAAAATTTGGCCTTCTAGTTTTTTGTTCTACTAAGTTCCATTTGCAGAAGAATAAGAATAACTAGACTAGCTGGTTTAATTAAATTTAATTTAGATTAGTTCAGTTGACAATTTGAAAAAACTGTTCATGACAATTATCTATTAATGCAAGTTGAAATAGTTCAGTTAACAAAGACGAGAAATTGAATATTGGAGTATCACCTCATCCTGCGTACATGTTACATGGGTTGACATTGATGCATAGAAAATGAAAGAACTAGATTTACTTAGATCTGTATATTTTGATTAGAGCTAACCAAATTGATCTAACCACTCATTTTACTAGCAACAAAGCAACTAACGACATTTAACTAGTACCCCATAACTAATTTAGTGCCACCTAGCTCACCTATATTGTCATTTTTAGAAGGATAAATTACAGATAACACCACTCTTCAAATAAACTTTTATGAAGCATGAACCTTCCATGATACTAATGATTTAACATGTGGTTTGCGTCTCTATTTGTCCTGCCTTTTATGAAGCATGAACCTTCCATGATACTAATGATTTAACATGTGGTTTGCGTCTCTATTTGTCCTGCTAGAGAAACATGCATATGGATGATTTATACTAATGATTTAACATGTGGTTTGCGTCTCTATTTGTCCTGCTAGAGAAACATGCATATGGATGATTTTACATTCTCCTGTTGCTTTTTTTCTGGTCAAATGCCTAGATTGAAAATGGGATAACCCTGATTTCTTTGATATTTATTTCTGGCCGTCATGGTGATTTCATGCTGACATATTTTTTTAATTTGTTATTTTGCTAAGAGCTAATTTCTTCTTCAGTTGATACCCGTTTCTCTACTTATATTTTCAATTTGATCTTATTGTGTTACTTTACAGGTAAAGAGTGTCTTTGGTGCTAAAATGTTTGCACTGGGAGTTGCGGTGAAGGTTCCAGTACCAGAACAAACAGCAAAGACAAGTTTCCAAGTGACATAAGGCAAAACCAAATATAAAGCTGCTATTGATTGTATTGTCTAGAAGTAAGTCCTGTTACTTCTCCTCGTTTCTTTCTGATTACAACATTAGGTAAGAGCTGAGTGCTTTTCTTCTTTCTTAATTTTATTATGTACCTCTTATATATGTTTTTTTTTCAGCAGTAGGCAAAGCCAAACAAGCTATTCAAGTGTTTTCAGCAGTAGGCAAGAACTGAGTATTTGTGCATAACATTTTTGGTTGATTTTCCTTTTTTTTTTAATTTATCTAACAGCCCCAAATTGTTGTAACCGTTGGGGCAAATATTTTGCCCCAACGGTTAGAACCGTTGGTGCAAGTTCAGCAACCGTTGGAGCTGACTTAGCCCCAACGCGATTTGCCCTAACAGTCCTTTTCTTAGCACAAACGGTCCTAACCGTTAGGGTCATGATTTGTCCCAACTGTTACAACCGTTGGGGCAGCCCTATTTTGTACTAGGATGTTTCTTTCTTTAAGTTACTTGTCGATAGAAAGAAATGTGGCAATTTTCTAGGATAGGAGGCTTTAATATCAAACCACCAATTTCTTATTTTATATAAATTATAAATTAAGGAGGGATATTTATTGATTTAGTCTTCTATGTTTTGTAAAATTAGATTATAAAATGATATTCTTTACGAGTCTCTAAATAGATGATGAGATTGAAATATCGAAAATTCGTGTTAACTTCAAGAGAATAAATGAATTTAGGCTATTTTCTCAGAAAAAGTATTATGAAGGAATCCTGAAATTTCATTGGGATTCGGCAAGCTATGATGAAAACTTAACGAGCTTCAAGCTTCCTGGTAATAACTTGAAAGAGTTTTTATACAAAACCACCACAATATATAGTGGTTTTTGGGAAAATCACAATAATATTTTTTATTTTCAAAGAACCACCATAAAATATAGTGGTTTTTCAGAGAATCGCCACAATTTTTTTTATTTTCTTAGAGCCACCATGAAAATATACAACGCTAACAAAGTGCCACCAAATTATAATTTTGCATCTATAGCATGTTAAACTAAATAATATGCTAAATCCCTAAAATATCCTCGTGATGGGACCCACCAATCTATTATTATATTTTCTCAAACCAATAAAATGTCTGAGCACCGTTGATGACTCAGATATTTGGGAGGTTCCAATATGACTCTCACTATCTTCGGTTCGATTCGTGGTCTCTTCACTATAAAAAAAATTATTTCTCTCTAAAACTTTGTTAACTCCCTCAAATAAATTTTAATTCCCTCACTCATCCTCTCTAATTTTTTGTCATAATGGACAATTATGTCATTTCATACTATTATTTAGCATTATACCGATGTAAATTATGGTTTGGTGGGGACTTCGTAAAAGATTCATATTTTTATCGTGATTTTATGAAAAATAAAAATTTTGTGCTAGTTTTCCGAAAAACCAATATATTTTACAGTGGTTCTATGAAAATAAAAAAATTTATGATGGTTTAACCGAAAAAATCACTGTAGTTTGTGGGGGTTTGTATAAAAAACCCTACCTTGAAACGTTAATAGCCCTAGAAGGCCCGTATTTTACCAGCGCGTTATGACCCGAACCAAGGGCCTCATCGTGGTTTTACCAAATTTGTAGACACATAATTCTTGACTTTTTTAGGTGTCTCATATTGATATACGGATATATATACAACCAATTGAAAAGAAAACCAACAACACAAGAATCCAAATACATAGGATTAGTTGATTTCTCCTCCATCATAGAGATGTATTTACTAAAACTAGGATTAGTACGTGGGACGTCTTTTGCAAGTAAAACAATATTTCGCAGTCTTCGTGACTCAAGGCCACCGAGAAAATGCTTATTTCCAAAATTCCCTCTCTTGATTTCTCCTCCATCCTAAAGAAAAAAAATAAACGTTTACCATTTGCCGTCCGGCATCTTTCTTTCTTGTATCAATACATTTAGCATAAGATCATGTTGTTGTGAATACATATCATAAGACGATACTAACTAGCCGAGTCTCACCGGTCATCTATTGGCATCTCTTTCAGCAAAATGTGTCGTCATACCATAATACCTATTATTTTCATAATTATCATGTGACAGGTATATACATGAGAGATGATACTATGTAACAAAAGATTTTTGACTTGCCAACCCATTTAGTAAAATGAGCTACCAAAGGATAGAAGTGAGGAGATTCACTTATTCTCATATTTTTAAAAGACGGACCTCATCAATAATTAGTGTATCTCTTGGTAGCTCATTAGTAAAATGAGATGTCACTTGAAATCATTTTCTCCACATATAAATATGATCTAGTTATAGATACACCTAATATACTAATTTTACCTAAAAAAATTTTATTTGCATCTAGATCTCAGTCTGTCCGAATAAAATTCTGTCTTCTTTGTCTCTTGTGAGCTGTATGAGCTGTGTATTCAACACCTACAAGAGAACAAAGGATCTCTCCATACGTACATTACTGAAATATTAGAAGATTTCCTTGCAATAAACTCTGTGACACCAGCATAACGAGTACATGACAAGAGATATTGAATAGCCCAATAGCACTGTAAGTGCATGGCAATTGACCCTATAAATATATATTAATCGACTCCCACAGACAACAACAACGCCCATAAACCTCGGCATGGATTTCTCCTTTGATCTCACGTCCCGTGTTCCTACGGTGGCAGCGTTGCTTCTGGCTCTTTTCGTCGGTAAAATAGTAAGCGGACTGTTGACAAGCAAGAAGAAGAAGAGACTTCCACCAGTTGCAGGAACTATTTTCCACCAGCTCATCAACTTCAAGAGGCTGCATGATTTCAATACTGAACTCTGCCACAAATACAAAACCTACAGGCTTCTTACTCCCACAAACAAGCAGGTCTACACTTCGGATCCTGCAAATATTGAGTATATTCTTCGAACCAATTTCAACAACTATGGCAAGGTAGTCATGCAAATGCTTTTCTTAGGAGAAATTTTCCTATGATATTCGCTAGAATCAAAACAGTTCTATGTCATTATCTTTTTCACTGAAATCAAATTGTGTAGATGTCATAAATGTGAATTCCAACTTCTTTCAGTATTCTGTGAGTTTGCAAAAATATTTATAATTTTTCATCCTTTTAACTTCTCAATTCTTTCCCACAACTCTCAGGGATCATTCAACTATGAAAACAGCAGTGACCTCTTTGGAGATGGAATATTTGCAGTAGATGGTGACAAATGGCGCCATCAAAGAAAGATAGCAAGCTATGAATTCTCAACAAGAGTCCTCAGAGATTTCAGCAGTACAGTGTTCAAAATAAATGCAGCCAAACTAGCTCAAATAATCTCTGAGATATCTAACCGTAAAGAAGTAATAGACATACAGGTGAAAAATCAAAGCTCTGAATTTTTTTATTTCAAGGTTAACTGCGTGTCAGTCTTCTATATCAATGAGTTAATTTACTTATTGCGCCTTAACTTTTTGCTATCACTTAGACTGTCCAAACAATCCCTGCTCTTGGAGCACACTTCAACTGGAATGCAACTGCAGCTTTGCAAATTTTGTCTATTTTTGTTTTGCAATAGCTCTTTCATGTATATAACAACATTCAATCAAATATGTCAATTGGAATTTGGATTTTAGGAGAAAAACATCGGAATTTTAGCAACTACTATCCAAACGCACTTTTATAAGAACCAACTACAAAGTGCTGAGCTAATAAGGGGTTAAGCGACGTCTAAATGCATTTAAGCCTTTTATTTTTCCAGTATCTTACTATTTATGATACTTATGTAACAGGATTTGTTCATGAAATCAACTATGGATTCGATATTTAAAGTTGGGTTTGGCATAGAGTTGAATAGTTTGCAAGGATCAGAAGAAGGAAATCGATTCTCCAATGCTTTTGATAGGTCTAGTAGTCTGATACTACTACGATATGTTGATCCATTTTGGAAGATCAAGAAGTATTTCAACATTGGATCAGAAGCAGAACTTAAAAAACACATTAAAATTGTCAATGATTTTGTTTACAAATTGATCAATGTCAAGATTGAAAACCCCCAGAATCCAGAAATCGACTCTGTAAGTCTTCAAATTTCATTTCTTATTCAACAAAAGGATTAGGCTTTATGTTTCTTGAACTTGGTTTTCAGGTGAAGAAAGAAGACTTGTTATCTAGATTTCTAGCGGAAATGGAAAAGGATCCAGAAAATATGACACACAAGTATTTGAGAGATATAATTTTGAATTTTCTTATCGCTGGAAAAGACACTACTGCTGGGACATTATCCTGGTTTATTTACATGTTGTGCAAGAATCAGCAGATACAAGACAAGGTTGCTTGTGAAGTGCAAGAAGCAACTGAAAATGATAAAGATACAAACTTTGGAGATTTCTCGAACCTTCTGACTGATGAAGTCGTAGACAAGATGCAGTATCTTCATGCAACCATAACAGAGACACTGAGATTGTTTCCATCAGTTCCTTTGGTTAGCCATACATACCAAAGTTTTCTTCTAATATATATATATACAAAGGGGTTGCTTTGTTTATTGCAAAAGATGCTAGCAATTAGAACATTTTGGGTCAGTTGCAGCTTAGTGCAATTAATAAATAGAGTTGCAATTGCCATTGCAAAGACATCTCAATTGCAGCTATGCATAATTAGGTGTAATTTCAGTTGGAATTTGAACTGCAAATAGGGAAAATTGCAACAGCAATTCCAACCAATCCCAATACAAGTCCATAAATCGAAAGCCTAATACTTCAAAACACATAGACGCAGCTTAATAACTGTAACTCTAAAAAGTAATGTAGTTGCAAGAACTATAGTTGTATGTAAATGGTGCTTGCAATTACAGTTATAAACCAGACAGCCCATGCTTACATGTTTTCTTATTACCGATACATTTACCATATAATATTTTTTTGTGAAGGATTCGAAAGTTTGCTTCTCAGATGATACTTTGCCCGATGGTTTTGACACAGAAAAGGGGGATGTTGTGTTTTACATGCCTTATGCAATGGGTAGATTAACATATTTATGGGGTGAAGATGCAGAAGTTTTTCGACCAGACAGATGGATTGATGCAAACGGGTACTTTCAACCTGAAAGTCCTTTCAAATTTACTGCATTTCAGGTATGAACTAATATACATATCATATTTGGACTATCCACATGAATTTTGATAAATTTCGCAAATTACCATAAACATTGGGAGGTTTAGAAGAAATTTTGATAAATATGAGACAAGAAGAGGGTAATGTGTTGGGGAATTCGAAACAATCAATCGAACCCTTGCCCTTCCGGACCTTGTGTTGAAAGTAGGAAAGTAGGAATAAACCACAAATAAAGATCTAACCTTGTAAAAACAGTAAAAGAGACGAACACACAGATTTAACGAGGTTCGGCAACGTGCCTACGTCCTCGGAAGCCACACCACACAATCTTTCTATTAATTGAAGAAGAAAATACAAGCTCTCAAACAAGGGGTAAATCTCTCTGAGATTCTCTCTCTCTTGGCAGCCAAAAAACTCCTTTTTTTATGTCCTACAAACCCTAGAAACGTTTGGGTATTTATAACAAACCCCAGCAGAACAGGATTCCTAGATAAAATAGGAAACAGCGGATCTGCGTCGCGGTCGACCGCTTTGCCAAGGTCGGTCGACCGGTCAGAACGACGAAATCCTACAGGGTCTTGTGCACGATATCGGTCGACCGCAGCGACCACGCCGGTCGACCGGCCAGAGCGAAAACTTCTTCTCAGTCTCCTGCAGTGCACGCGGTCGACCGGCTCTGCCACTGCGGTCGACCGCACAGTCTTCTGACTGTTTTCTTCGTCTTTTCGATTGCAGCTTTGGGTCTACACACTTAGACTAACAATCTCCCACTTGGAGACCAAAGCGCCATCAATGAGCTCACCCGAACTCTCCCCTTCTTCGCATGTATCTTTTCCCCCGAAAAATTCTTTCTTCAATCAACATCCCGACGATCGCGCCGATCCTCGTAGTGTGGCTCCGCCTTCGTCTTCTACTCGTGAAGGCCAACTGAAGTTGCGCACAACTCCAGTTTCTCAATGGTGACTGCCTTCGTCAACATGTCCGCCGGATTTTGACTCCCCAAAATCTTCATTAAGTGCAACTTTCCGTCCTCGATCAGCGAGCGTATAAAATGGTATTTAACATCGATGTGCTTCGTTCTGGCATGATATACTGGATTCTTGGCAAGATGTATAGCGCTATGGCTATCACAATAAAGAACTCCTCTCCCTTGCTTCAGGTCCAACTCTTCCAAGCACCCGTTCAACCAGATCATCTCCTTGCTTGCTTCAGTCACCGCGACATACTCAGCCTCGGTTGTAGACAAAGTCACAATCTTCTGCAGACGTGAGACCCAGCTCACTGCTGTCGACGCTAAGGTATAAACATACCCCGTGGTGCTTCGCCTCGTATCATGATCACCGGCGAAGTCCGCATCCACATATCCCTACAGTACCAACTCCTTCCTCCTGAAACATAGTGGCTTGTTCGTTGTTCCCCTCAAGTACCGCATTATCCACTTCACGGCCTCCCAATGCTGCTTTCCTGGATTGCTTGCAAATCTGCTCACAACTCCCACTGCATGGGCGATGTCCGGCCTTGTGCAAACCATCGCGTACATGAGACTCCCAATGGCTGAAGAATATGGCACCCTGCTCATATGCTCTCTATCTGCATCTGTCTTAGGCGATTGCTCCTCAGATAACTTGAACTGACTTCCAAGGGGTGTGCTAACAACTTTAGCATTCTGCATGTTGAACCTCTGAAGTACCTTCTCAATGTATTCAGCTTGGCTCAAACTCAATGTCCCTTCAGCTTCATCCCTACTGATTCGCATCCCTAGAATCTGCTTCGCTGCACCCAGATCCTTCATTGCAAATTCCTTTGCTAGCTGCCTCTTCAAACTGTTTATCTCTTCTAAACACGGTCCTGCTACCAACATGTCATCAACATATAATAACAAAATAATGAAGCTGGACTCGAACCTTTTGAAATAACAGCAATGATCCGAATTGCATCTTCTGTAGCCATTGTTCTGCATGAAGTTATCAAACTTCTTATACCACTGTCTCGGAGCCTGTTTCAAACCATATAAGCTCTTCTTGAGCTTGCACACCATCTCTTCCTTTCCTTCTTCAATGAAGCCAACAGGCTGCTTCATGTAGATTTCTTCATCCAAGTCACCATGAAGAAAGGCAGTCTTCACATCTAACTGCTCAAGGAAGAGGTCTTCTGCAGCTACCAAACTCAACACCACTCTGATGGTTGTGAGTTTCACAACAGGGGAAAATATCTCCGTGTAGTCCACTCCTTCCCGCTGTTGAAACCCTTTCACTACTAATCTGGCCTTGAATCTCTTGCTTCCATCACTCTCCTGCTTGACCCGGTAGACCCATTTATTGTGCAAGGCTTTCTTCTGTGCAGGTAGCTGGGCTAACTCCCATGTCTCATTAGTGAGTAGAGAATCCATCTCCTCCTGCATCGCATGCTCCCACTGCTGAGATTCACTCACTTGCACTGCCTCTTCATAACACTCCGGCTCTCCGCTATCTGTTAAGAGTAGATAATCAAGTGACGAGAGGTATTTGGGATTTGGTTTGGGTACCCTAGATGACCTCCTAGGCTCCACGCCCTGGGTAGTAGCTTCTACACCTGTAGTCTCCTTCGTTCTACGGTCAGAACTGACATCGTCGCCCCCATCTGGAAGTTCCTCCAAATCCATGTACTCGGATCCACCTGTATCCGTAGTGCTGCTCCCACTGCTTTGGCTATCCTTGGCATTGTCCCTGTCCTTGTACATCACCTCCTCATTGAATATCACATCCCGGCTCCTGATGATCTTCCTGTTCTTCTCATCCCAAAGGCGATACCCGAACTCATCAATGCCGTATCCAATGAATGTGCACTTCTGTGACTTAGCTTCTAGCTTGTCCCTGACATGGTCACTGATATGAACATAAGCCACGCAACCAAATACCCGCAAGTGTGAGAGATTTATCTTCTTTCCACTCCAAACCTCCTCTGGAATCCCAAAATCTAATGGAACTGATGGCCCGTGATTAATAAGGTATGCTGCCGTATGCACCGCATCCGCCCAAAATGTCTTAGGCAGACCTGCATGTAATCGCATGCTCCGCGCACGCTCTGTCAAGGTCCTGTTCATCCTCTCTGCAATGCCGTTCTGCTGCGGCGTCCCTGGAGTAGTCCTCTCTAAGCGAATCCCATTCGTAGCACAGAACCTCTTGAACTCCTCCAGCTCGTATTCTCCACCATTATCTGATCTCAAGCACTTCACCTTCAGATCTGTCTCGTTCTCGACCATGGCCTTCCACTTCTTGAAGATCTCGAACACCTCTGACTTGTGCTTCATGAAGTAAACCCACACCTTCCTCGAGTGATCGTCGATAAAGGTAATGTAGTATCTCGAACCGCCAAAAGAAGACACACTGGCTGGGCCCCATACATCTGTATGAATCAACTCTAGCTTCTGAGCCTTAGGTGGCCTTCCACCCTTCTGGAAACTAACCCTCTTCTGCTTCCCAAAGATGCAGTCTTCACAAACCCCGACTTCCACGGTGTCGATCCCGGTTAGCTTTCCTTGTGAATGTAGAATTTTCATCCCTTTCTCGCTCATGTGCCCCAGCCTATTGTGCCACAGATCTGTACTCTCCTTGCCAGCTGCAATTGCGAGGGTGTCACTCGCATGTGAAGTGAGGTAGAGAGTTCCCGTTTTATTGCCTCGGTGTAATTGCGAGGGTGTCACTCACATGTAAGGTGAGGTAGAGAGTTCCTAGTTTGTTATCTCAAGCAACTATCATCGTACCGTTGGAGATCCTCCACGAATCCCCGGTGAATGTCGAAACGTAGCCTTCTGCTCCAAGCTGTCCCACCGAAACAAGATTCCTCTTCAGCTTCGGCACGTGTCTCACGTTCTTCAAGTTCCACTTAGAGCCCTTTATCTGTATCTGAACGTCGCCCTTTCCAACAATATTGCAAGGTTCATTATCCCCCAAGTATACTTTACCAAAGTCCCCTGCTACATAGTTCTGAAGTAGTTTCCTATTTGCAGTGGCGTGGAAAGAAGCTCCTGAGTCGATGACCCAAGAATCAGAATCGCTATCCATAGCAAGGATCAAGGCATCCTGCACGATATGAGCCTCCTGCTCACCCGCATCCTTCTTTGGTGCTTTACAGACCGAAGACATATGGCCCTCCTGGCCGCAGTTCCAACACTTCCCTTTGATAGACCTAACCTTCGAGTTCGGCCTCTTCTTCACTGATTTCGACCGATTCCTGTTCTGGTTCCCTTTCTTCTGGCTTCTGCCTCTCTGCTCGAAACTTAGGGCTGAACCTGAACCTTCTGATTCGGACGATTTCCTTCTAACCTCCTCGGATAGAATCATGCTAACAACCTCATTCAGCTTCAACTTCTCTTTCCCCGCCGAATTGCTGATTGCCGTCACACAACCTGCCCAACTATCCGGCAACTGCGATAGTAGTAGAAGGGCCTGCACTTCGTCATCGAATGTGATGTCCACGGAGATAAGTTGATCAACAATCGTGTTGAACTCGCTGAGGTGCATCGTGAAGGACCGTCCTTCTGCCATCTTGAGGTTGAAAAGAGTTTTGACTAGATGCACCTTGTTTGCTGCCGACGGTTGCTCGTACATCTTCGCGAGCGCTTCCATAAGCCCCACCGTCGTCTTCTCCTTCAGAATATTGTGGGCTACTGATTTGGCGAGCGACAACCGGATTTGCCCTAGAGCCTTCCTATCCAGTACCTCCCAATCACCATCTGACTCCGTCGTCTTCTTTCCCTTTTCCTTGCCCAGAAGCGGGCGATACAAGTCCTTCTGGTACAGATAGTCCTCCATCTGCGACTTCCAGTAGGCGAAATCCGATCCGTCGAACTTCTCAATCTTTGATTTGCTTTCCTCTGCCATGGCTTTCACACAAATTGCTGAACGAAGCTCTGATACCAGTTGTTGGGGAATTCGAAACAATCAATCGAACCCTTGCCCTTCCGGACCTTGTGTTGAAAGTAGGAAAGTAGGAATAAACCACAAATAAAGATCTAACCTTGTAAAAATAGTAAAAGAGA